GGGGTCTTTATCCCCAAGTTTTGACATACAGACTGCTTGGATTTTCATAAGCAACCTCTACAACTAAAGACCCAGGGACAAGGTATATATAAAAGAATAGTCAAACCCATTTTGAGGAACCTGAAATTTGCAATCTGCTCTTTTAGATATGGCTGAAATATATGCGTGGGTCTACCACAAATCTTTAGCCAGCTGAAAGATATACTTGTTTGGCAAAGCCAAGCAGTCTTGGGAGCATGGATGCTGAACATACATAAATTGAGACTTTCCCTGAATTACTTCAAGGGATATGTCTAAGGCCTTAAAGGAATGTCAACGTAGGTTCTGAAAGGCCTTCAGATAGACTGTGGGAGGAGCAGATGTCATCTACATATGAAGATGAAGCAGCCAGACAAATGGGCTGGTCCTCATATTCCCCCACAAGATCTTCCTCATTATGAGCCTCTTATATGAATTCTTGGAAAAGCTCCTGGTTAGATGGTTATGTTGTCTTAAATCATTCTTAAGGAGGTGCTATATTCCTAGACCTGGATTTAGACAAATACAGAGTAGGAAAATGCTGAGGATTCCATGCTGACCAGTAAGGTCAGGACTGCACCCTGTATGAAAAAGGCATATGATGCCACAGTGGTGGACAGCAAAGTGACTAAGACCTCTCAGAAGTATGGGATCTATGATGAGAAAGGCTCCTTAGGTCTCTTTGAGGAACCAATCTAGAAAAAACAAGGAGATGCTGCTGGGATGTTGAAAATGATGGGAATGACTAGAAGAGGTGAAGGAGTCTCAGGGCCTCGACCACACCTTCAAAACTGTTGCTTCGGTGGGAATGCATGAGAGCAGCCCTTTGAGGACTGTGCTATATACATTTGGTAGGTCTCTGTCTTCAGCGCTGGGTGTCCTAGTGCCGATGAGGAGTATACTGCTGCATTCGGGATCAGGGAGGGAGTTGGTACTTTCCAGAGCATCTCTTCAGTACTGTCATGTAAATTCCAAAAGATTGGAGTGTAGCTCAAGAGTCCTTAAGGGAGTGCAGAGAATCGTCCGTACACTTAGAGAATAGGTTTAGAAGGTAAGTCCTCTACTGTGGTTTGTACCTCCTTAGTAAAGTCCCAGAGGTGGAGCCATGATGCACACCTCATAACTACAGCAGTCATGATGGATTGGGCAGCGGTGTATGCAAAGTCTAATGAGGCTTGCAGAGTTGTATGAGTTAGGAGGTGCCCTTCTGATATCAAGGACTGGAATTGTTCTTTCCTGGCCTCCAGTAGGTCCTGGGAGAGTTCCTCCAATTTGGAGTAGTTATACGTAGCCATAAGGGCTTCATAGATTGAGATTCTAAATTGGAGCGTGGCTGACGAATATGCTTTGCATCCAAAAAAGTCTAGGCATTTACAATCTCTGTCAGGATGGCTAGAATGAGATTGGAATTGACAGCCTCTCTTGTACCGCACTGACTACCAAAGAATTCGGGGGTGGGGTGCAAGAATAGAAATTCCGCATCCTTCGCCAGAACATAATATTTGCAGGTCAGAGGGATGGACGCAGGGGTCTGCCACAGCAACTTTGTGAGGGTCAAGAAGAGACTCGTTGATAGGTAGAGCGATCTTGGAGGAAGAGTATGTGTGGAAGATATCCAGTAGTTTACACTGCTGGTCCTTGACTTCCTCCAAAGGGATCTGTAGGGAGTCCGCAATACTGCAGAACACATCTTGAAAATGCCTGAAGTCATCAGCCAATGTAGGGGGTGGAGGCACGATAGCCTTGTCAAGTGAGGAGGAAAAATGTAATGTTGGTTGAGCCTTCTCTTCCTGTTCCTCCTCTTGTTCTTCCTCTTCAGATGGTACCAGCAGGGGTTCGACTTCCGGAGGGCAAGAAACCAATAGAGAAGGGAGAGGTGTAGGTTTCCGGCTTTGCTCTCTGGGAGGGTTCCCGAACTGTGCCCTGTACGTGGCCCAATACGTTCAGTTTGGAGGGAGTGGCACATAGGGTTGCATCCATGGTGGTCCCTGCCAAGAGTGGGGACCAGAGGTAGGCTGTGGATAGTGAGGATGAGCAGGCGTAATTTGTCTAGTAGATGAGGGAACAATAGAGCCTTCATCTTCCTCTTCTCCTCCTCCTCATCTCTGGGGAAGAAGGTGCCATCCTCGGCAGAGAGAGAGAGAGAGAGTGTATCGTGAGTCTGGAGAGGAGGGTGGAAGTGGAGGGAGGTCACATCGAAGGAGCGGAGACTCAGGAGTGTCAGATGCCAGCAGGTCTTTAGAGTAACTAAAATCTCATGGGGGGGGGAGGGGAAGCATCATTAGTGCTGGTGTAAGACACGATGCAAAAGGGAGGGCGTATGCCCAGAGGTGTTGGTAGATGGCTCCAGAGACTTGGTCGGTGCCAATGGCTTGGCCAGTGCCTTGGCCGGTGAAGAGATTTCATTGGTGTGGGAAAGGGTGCCGGTGCTTTAGCTTCTCAAGTCAGCCTGTCTTGTTCCCTAGAGTTGGGAAATGATGCTGAAGGCCATAGCCCAGTTAGGATCTTTAGACCATTTCTTTGTGTCGGTATCGGAGGCACTCGGACGGGCCCTAGAGCTGTGTGCCAGATGAGGTTGAGGCAACAGACCTTGACAGTGTTTTGGTGCGACGTGCCTCAGAATGTGAGGAGAGAGCCTGTTTCTTTTCATCTGAGCGAGAAAGGGATGACTCTCTGTTCACGCGACATGGAGATTGAGGATGGGCAGACAATCTGGCAGAGTATGGGGGCCTCTCCAGAGGAGTCTGGGCCTGGATCTCATGCCGGTCACAGCAATTTCTCCATGAGGAGAAGTTTTAATCTGATGTCCCGGTCCTTTCTGATTCTGGGTTTCAAGCCGAGGTAATGGGAACACTTTCGCGGGACGTGTCCCTCTCCCAGACAGTGGATGCACTGCAGGTGGCTGTTCGTTACTGGGAAGGCAACCCCACAACAAATGCACCTCTTAAACCCAGGGGATCCGGGCATAAGGGTGATGGAAAAAGGCTTCCCGGGCAGGAAGGGATGGGAGGAAACGAAAACCTAAACTATGAGAAAACTAGAGGTAAAGTTAAACAAAAACAGTTTTTCCTTTTGTTTGGAAGAAAATACTTACTACATTACACTAATAGATAAGGCACTAACTACTGAGGGAAAAGGAAAAATGGGCTCTGCTGCAGATTCCGTCCCAGACCAAAGGCGGTAGAGAAGGAACTGGGGGCGCTCGGATCCCCCTGTGCCGTATATATGCCCCACACCCAGTGGGGGAGGAGGGAGGCGTGCATGTGCGGTCCAACAGGCACTGCTGATGAAGATTTAGGTTCTCATGCGCATGGGGCACTGACATACCTACAAGTGAAGCACCCATAGGGACATCACTGGAAGTAGTAATAAAGGCAACCTGCTTTGAGAGAGGAATTGGTACCAAGCTCAACAATATCGATGTGGTCATCTCAGTAGATGGGGTCTCATTAGGATACAGTACTACAGATTCTTTGACAGATAGGACTGATGTCATTAGCACTCAAGAGGTGGCATTGGTCACCAAGGATGCAGTACTGAAGCAGAAGAACACGTTTCCACAGCCCCTGAAGACACATGATGCAGATCAGAATTGGAAGGAAGGAGCCAGTTTGAACCAGAGTGATGAGTCTTAGACTTCTAGGACAAATACCAGGGATAGTGACCATCAGCATCATCAGAAGATCTCTGCTTCTTCCTACCTTGGGCAGCAGAAGTCAATGACTGACCAGATATGGATAGAAGAGAAGGCTCAGCATGTTTTTCAGAAGCATGAGGTCTCTTAGAGCCAGAAGTCCTGTTAGTTCCCAGAGCAGTACGTCTGGTAGTCAGACCACTAGTAGAAATAAGCATTAAGGCAACAGATTGCTTTCAAAGAGGGACTTCAGACTCAGAACACTCCTGACTTTTCCAGCAGAAACATTTTTAAACAGGCATCATGAGCCTTCTGTGTGGGCTTAGAAAAAGGATTTTCAAATCGAATGTTTGCCCAAAATATACAATTCCCCTAAACAAAAAGAGAGACATAGTATGTCTATCACTTGCCAGCATACCTAATTTATAAGCAAGCAGATTTTTAAAGCCTAGAGACAGAGTTTCTGCCAGGAGACTTGCACCTCAGTACAAAGAGGAGTCAGATAAAAAAAAACAAAAACATTTTGGGGTTTTTATTTTGCCAACAGCTACTTAAAAGTCTAACTACAAGAACAACAAGTAACGAACTATCCTAACGCTAGGGAAACAGATGGATTCTATGCATTTCTGTCCTGCTATCAGGGATGGTAATAAGAAACTGAGAGGCAAGTGGGGATGCTCTGCACTTTATGCCTTGGGTTGGCAGGGAGGGTGTATGCGCAGCCTCAGACACTGTGAGCTAAGAGATTTTAGGCTCACATACATGGGACGCACATGCCTCCAGTGGAATCTCTGTGGACAAATGCTTGAAGAACACCACAGGTTCAGCACCCACAAGAGTGAGGGAGGAGGGCAAACAATTCTGCATTCATTTTACTTAGGATGTCAAGTGAAGTTTATCATCAATCCTCAAAATAAGTGGTACAAACTTTCCAATAAAATCAACACAGAATTTCTATAAATGTCTATAATTTCTATTTCTCTATGAAATTCTCACTGTTGATCTGAATACTAGCTTATTCATAAAGTGTTGTGAGTAGTGTCTTAGAATTAGCAGATTAAACTGACATGCTTTTGCAATTCATTTATACGAACCAGAAACAAAGCAATCCACAACTTGCCTTGCACTTTCAACATAAAATAGGCTTGTAAACTAGAATCAGTTTTTCCATGTGCTGTTAAAATTGACAGTTGAAATGTGTATAGTGAAAAGATTTTTAATGGAGCTGAGGGAGGGAAAAGGAGCATGTGTTTTAACCCCTCTCAACCAGAATACAGAGAATTTATAAGAGGTTTTAGCTTACAAGTTGTACTAATGATTCAAATCTTTGTGTGCAATATTGAATTACTTTTGGAGAAAGGAGGTCATACAGATCACAGTCTTCATCTCTTTCACTATGGCCAAGATGATTTTCTTGCGACTCTAAAAGGCAAGCATACCAAACTAAGAGTTAACACATACACCAATCACAGTTAATTGTAAACTAGATGACCACAGAGTAGCAAGGGTATCGTGCTGGCACTGCAGCACAATTGGATGTACCTCAGGGGTGACATTCTGGTCCTGAAATAAGGGGAGTTTTGCCACTGACTTCAATAGTGTCAAAATTTCACCCTAGATGTTTTGAAACTAGGAAGAAGAGGCCAGGCAAAATTAAGAAAATTTTCTGAACTCTAGAGAAGTCTTTTCAAATATACTCTTGTCTAATAATCATAGCAGCATCTAAGGCAACTGCATAGTAAATCACCTGACATTGGTGCTATATTGAGGGACAGGATTATTCCTGGGGAAAATCAGCACCAAAAATTTAAAAATTCTGCACACACTATTTGAAAATTCTGCAAAATTCTGATATTTGTCAAAATATAGTATAATCATGCCAGTTTCAATTATTTTGGTAATTTATTTCAAAATATCTGTCAACAAGTATGTCTGTAACAATACAGATAAAAAAAGATTCTGGTAAATTTTTTTGACAAATATATTCCTTATTAATACAGAACTTTGAGTAATTCATTTAAATTACAATACAGAACTATATTTCCTGACCTGTCAGAAGCAGGGCAAAGGCTTGGAGGAGTGAGGGGTAACAGAGGAGCTGAGGGAGAGGGAAGGAGCCTAGGAGTGAACTTTGGAGGGTGTTGGGTGTGGGTGGGAGGTTTTTTTTGTTTTGTTTTTTTTTCCAGGGAGTTGGGAAGCCTCCCCCATGCAGACCTTGGCTGACCCCAAGCCTCTCCCATTCAGTCAGGCACATCTGCCCCTGTCCCCGCAGGCCCCCTCCCCCATCCCCAGACTCAATGCTGTCACCCCATTAGGTCCTGAGCCCATGCCCCAGTCTGTCCCCCCACTAGCCATTCTGAACCTCAGTCTGTGACCCCCAAACAGCCCTGTGTGCCCCACTCTGTCCTAATCTGGCTCTGTGGGCAAGGTGTTGTGATGAACTACAACCCCCAGGGGACTTCTGCAGCAGTGGACGGCAGAATGTATTTTCTACGTGGGGAAAATACAAAATTATGTGGGACAGAGGAATTCTGCATGTCCGCAGATGCTCAGAATTCCCCCAGAAGTACAGGATGGAGAGAACAAAAGGAGTGTAAAAGTACAAAATAACCCACACTCAAAGTGCACGGAAATACTATAGAAGAAAATTAACTCTTGCATAATCTAACAGTATTCCTTCCACAAATTATACTACGTATTTAGCAACAACTCAAAGGTCATTCAGAAAAAAAATACATTAGGAAAAATGCCCAAATAGAGGAGTTTATTTTAAAAGCATGGCTGCTTAAAAAAAAATCCATGCATACATTTCAGTAGTAACAAGAAATATGCTGAAGAAGATCAATAATGGTGAGTGGCCTGAGTGGTTTCTATAGCTACTAGAGAATTAATAGATGAACTAACTGGTGATTGAACATGTCAGCATACTGTTGTCTTGGAAAAGTCTTTAAAAATAACCCTTATTTTACACATAGCATACTATGTACAAAATACTTAAACATGTATAATTATACAGCTCCACCCCGATATAACGCGACCCGATATAACACGAATTCGAATATAACGCGGTAAAGCAGTGCTCTGGGGGGGCGCATTCCAGCAGATCAAAGCAAGTTCGATACAATGTGGTTTCACCTATAACGCGGTAAATTTTTTGGCTCCCGAGGACAGCGTTATATCGGGGTAGAGGTGTACTTCAAAATACACGTTTTCCAGCTTTATTATGGAGCATTTCCCACCCACAAACCTCATTTCTGAGATGCCAGAAAATTTCACAGACAACTGCGTTTTCATGTCTAACTTTTCCTTCTCTTATTTTTATTAAATTTATTGTTTTTGCTTTCCATTGTCTTTAAATTAGTCAAATAATTTTAAAGTCAATGTGAAAGGTCTACGTTGAGACAGCACAATTCAAAATCTTAAAATCTGGATTCAAATTTAATTAGTAAAATATCCTATAATTGTTGCGTTTACAGGCGACAAGTTTTCCCAGTAGAAGAAAGAAAATAAATTGACACAGGTAGAATAAGCCCCAGTGATAGCCCCCTCTCTCCCAAGAATAGCTGGTAACTAACCACATGTACAGGACATCTAGAAAGCACCAAAAATAAAAGCCAAGAGCAAAAAGTCTTACCTTCTGAATTGATGTCCTCTTTCAACATATGACATAAATAATTGTTTCCTCTGTTTGATCTGGTGGGGTTGTCCTGTAAAGTCTGAAGACTTTGCCTTCAGTGTAAAAATATTTTTCAAGTGTTTTTTTTTTTTTTAAAAAGACCTTAAACTATGCACAAATACTCCCCCCCACGATTCAAAGCTCCTATATATTCTAGGTTCATTTTAACTGACCCATCATCACTCAAATATATACTTTAATACATTCTTTGCAGGCAATATAATGTTTCATTTTAGCCATGTTGAGTCCTGAGACTATTATTAACTAGCAATATCTACCGGGTAAAATCTTTATCCTATTGAAATCAATGGGAGTTTTGCCATTAACTTTAATAGGGCCAGGATTTCAACTATTGTGTACCATGCAAACCCTGGTATACAATACATACATTCTTACTTCATAGTGACAACACTCTTAATATACATTTATATTATCAATGTAATTCTTTGAAAGCCCGGGCCAAACTTTAATTGGCCAAATTAAAAACCCAAAAGACTGAACTCAAAGAGCAAATACTATAGAGCTTCATCTACAGCACCATTAGTAAGAACTACATAAGATTTGTTACAGTATTAAATAGAAACTCTCCACTGCCAAGTTAAAAACCCCTTTCCAAGCAAATAATGTCAGATATATCTTACATTAGCCACATTTGTTGTTCTTACCAGGAATCTAATGAAAAAGGTTTATAATAAAGAATTATCAAATTTTATATATATTCACCGCCATTCTCTAATTAAATTGTAAGATATACTTCAATATAAATTTAATTTTAAAAAATGGAGTAATCTTAAGATTTACATAACACATACTTTGCAGCCTGCAGTTTTCTTGTATAAAGTTCTTCTTCCACATAGTCATCCACTGGGTAGAAACCTTGGTTTGTATTTACAGTGGTAACAGCCTTTCAAGTCAAACAATAAAACTGCTTTAACATTTATGTTGTACAATTATGCACTTTACACTTTTTTTAAAAATCCAACTTTATATTTTATCTGGTATTGGCTAAAACTCATTTTGGGCCTTTCATAGCGATCTGGCTATCAAGTTCTACTACATACATACATTCTGTCTGGGGACTGGTCCTGCTTTGAGCAGGGGGTTGGACTAGATGACCTCCTGAGGTCCCTTCCAACCCTGATATTCTATGATTCTATACACACACACACATATATTGTGAATGAGTCAAGATTGTTAGTCTAAATGTCTTAACCATTCAATAGCTGAGGGAAGGGCACTATGTGAGTCCACGAGAGAACCAAGCATCCCTTGCCAATGCGTGCAGCCTGCAAGTGCATGGCCTACATCTTCTAACTGGCCATAGTGGCAAAAGGGAGCACGGAGCCATGAAGATCCCACTTAGTAATAAGCAGCAAATCTGATCACTCCACTGAAGCAACTGAGTTATACCAAAGAGGGTATGGAACATCAAAACCGAAAGTTTGATCTATTGGTTCTGTCACATGATAGGAATTTTACCTGCATTTTGAGCTTTTACTGAAAGTTTATGTTACGTGAATGTGCACACTATAGCTAGGTACGGTACTGAAACAGATGCAGCTACCACGAAAGCTTATGCCCAAATAAATTTGTTAGTCTCTAAGGTGCCACAAGGACTCCTCGTTGTTTTTAGTGATAAAGCAGTGTGTTTATTTCAGTGTGACTTGGTCATTTTTCTGGAATAAAAGGAAGTTAAATAGTCCACGATAGGTTAGACTAACACCTGCCAGGGATGCTCTAGATAATACTTAGTCCTGCCAGGAATGCAGGGGACTGGACTAGATGACCTCTCAAGGTTCCTTCCTGTCCTACGATTTTCTGATTATGAAGAATTTAAAAGCACACATGTTACCTATAGTTCCCATAACAAAACAGCTTGGCTTTAATCCCACTTGGAGGTATAAGTAACAGCATATAGTAAATGTATAGTGTTATTACAAGAGAAATTAGTTACAGTTACTAGGTAAATATATTTAAACACAAGTCAGGAAATTCAAAGGTATCAACCATAATTTTTACTTAGTGCAGTGTTTATTTAGTACTAAATAAACTTATTTTCAAAAGGTTATACCATGGTTGAAGAAAAAACACTCACTTTTGTTATACAAGATCACAGATTAAAAAAAGTCCACTCAGCTGTTTCAAGTTTTGTAAAAAACAAACATTTCTTCCCCCAAGTACGCTACCGTACATTATGAACCAATTACTGCACAAGTTATTCTAGTTGTTTAGTAGTTTGAAAAAAATTCCAATTGTTCAAGATATTTGTGTGGCTAGTTTGTGGAGGTGAAAAAATTTAAGAGTCTTAGATACACAGGTAGATAACAGAATTTTTGAGAATTATAAAGATCTAAGAGAGTCTATTGAGTAACACACATACAGGTTGAACCTCGCTAATCCGGCACGCCCTGGTTCGGCAACATCCATGGTCCAGCATAGGAGCACCCAGGGGAAAAATTAGTGGGTGTGGAGCATCCACCAGCGCCACGGTCCCCCCTCACCGTTCGCGCACCGGCGGCCCCATGCTTACCAACTCCTCCTCCTCCCTCCCTGGGACCAGCATCGGTGCTTTTGGGAAGGCATTGGGGGACTAGTAACATTTGAGTGGAGCTAGCCTGAGCCTAGATGATAGTGGTTGTTTCAACAGCTAACTTGAGCTTTATATCCCAATGGGTTAGACAACTCATATTAAAAGCACATCACAGTCCAGTTAAAGGTTTGAGTGGGGACCAGACTAGAGTAGGGCAACGTTCAAGTTATAACTTGAGTCAGCTCTGCTGTGAAGAGAAGCCCTTAAAGTTAATTGAATATATACATTCATTATTAGGGATGCGATTCTGTCATGGAGGTCATGGAGCAGCAGCGAGCCCCGGGGCCACCAGAGCAGCACTCTGACTGCTAGCCCCCCACTCTGGGTATTTTAATAAAGGTCAGGAACAGATTGCGGGCTTCCATGAATGTTTATTGCCCACAACCTGTCCCTGACTTTTACTAAAAATACCCGTGACAGAATCTTAACCTTATTTATCATATGTTAAGCTAGCTTAAAAAAAAAAAAAAAAAACACTAGCGAGAATGACTTTTTGTACCAGATTTAAAAAACACCCAAACACCTTAGTAATTAAAATAGTATACAAGAATGGTATCTCAGATAACACTAACAAGATTAGTTTTTGTCTTCTTCACATTATCTGAAAGCTCCCATTAGTTGCTTAATACTATATTTCAAATTGCAAATAATTCTACAACGGACCTTGACATGTTTGTGGAACAAAAACTTACCTCACAGTCAACACACACTATTATACTTGACTCCTGTGTTACCGATAAACACAATTCACAAAAGATATGTCCACACTGTAATGCATGGTGACGCGCTCCTGATGAAATCAAGTCTATAAGTAAAAGTTAGCAAAATCCAGATTAACTGCTTGAGTCTTTTACAGTTACCAACATTAAAAAAGTGACTGTTGCCATATTTAAATTAGAGTATAGCTACACAATCTTGCAAAAGCATTGGTCTTGCTGATGAAGTAATCCAGTAGCATTTTCAGGACAACCTTACAGTTTCAGAGAGAAAAGGTGGAGGAGGTAATATCTTTCATTGGATCAACTTCTGTGGTGAGACACAAGCTTTCAAGATTACAAAGAGCTCTTCTTCAGGTCTCTCTAATATCCTGGGACCAACGTAGGTACAACAACACTGTACACAATGTTATAGTTTCAGGCATTTATAAAACTTATCAAAAATAATGGTACTCCAAGGAAAAGCCAGGTGCACAGAAAGAGCTGTGCCTCCCATAGTTTAGCAGTAACAACAGCAGTTTCCCCATCTTTGCAATTTTCTCTAAGGGTACGTCTAGACTACCCGCCGAATCGGTGGGTAGTAATCAATCTATCGGGGATCGATATATCGTGTCTCCTCTAGACACGATATATCGATCCCCGAACGCGCTTCCGTCGACTCCGGAACTCCACCAGGGCGAGCGGCGGTAGCGGAGTTGACAGGGTAGCCGCGGCCGTAGATCCTGCGCCATGAGGACCCGAGGTAAGTCGAAATAAGATGCGTCAACTTCAGCTACGCTATTCTCGTAGCTGAAGTTACGTATCTTACATCAACCTCCCCCACACACTGTAGACCAGCCCTAAGGCTCAACAAAAAACACAGTGAAACTGACTAGGCTCCAGTCAGTTGCTGATGTACTAAAGTTCGGTGATCACTGAATTGTACAGAAAGGGAATTTTACAAATACAGGGATATCCCAGGGGAAAAGCAGCAATAACTATAACAACACAAGCATTAAAAGTATCTGTTTAGCTAGTACCTGTAAAACTACTGATTTAAGCTAAACAGACATAAGCCAAGTTTATACTAGCGTAAAAAGATTATCCACACACATAATTGCACCAGTTTAGCTAACTCAGCATAAAATCGCTCTAGTAATTGAAGTGGCACACAAGTTTGTGTATGATCTAGGTCTAAAAATATTATCCCTTTGTTCTCAGAATTGTTTTGGACTCTGAATACACGAGTTTCTTTTTGGAGAGACTGTTTCAAACCCTTCACTTTTAACATGAAAAAAAAAAAGGCCATTCTACTGCAGATTGTAAAAGCCTAACTGAAACAATACACAGCTAGTGTCTATTAAAGTCATTACATTCAGCACTGTAAGCTAGATATTACATATTTTCTCCCATAGGTGCCGACTTCAGGGGCTCAAGCACCCACAGAGAAAAAATAGGGGTGCTCAGCACACGGCCTGGACTGGACTGCTACTCTGATGGCTCTGGGGCTGGCCACCAAACAGCTCTTCAGCCACTGGCCCTGTGCCCCCATCAGCTCTTCAGTGGACCAGCTGTTGAGTGGGGCTGCCCTGCCACTCACTCTTCTCTGCCCCATCCTCCCCTCACTGCCCTTAAGGCAGGCGGGGGCAGAAAGGAACAAGCAGCGGGTAGGAGGCATTCAGGGGTGGAAGTGGAGTAGGGCAGGAAGAGGTGGAGTGGGGGTGGGACCTCAGGGGACAGACAGAGGCAGTGTGGGGTACTCACTAGCAAAACCAAAAGTCAGCTCAGTGCCTATGTTTTCTTCTGTACCCCTGCATTTGGACATGAATGGTATTCACATACCATAACGATGCACATTTCTAAAGTGCCTAAAATGAACAGGACGGGGGGGAGGTCCACCATCACACAAATACATACTTGCTCTTATGTCCATTATAAGTACTCAGGAGACCAAATACAGATATGCTTTCTCCCAACTCCAGATTTTGTTTCTTTTTAGTGACCTTCATCCATTTGCACCCCCGGCCAATGCTGACAATATTGTCTGGGGGCAGCGGGACCAGGCTCTCAGGGTAGGTGGGACTCTGGCCTGATCACATGCCCGTTCACAGGGCAGAGTTGATCACTCGAGGCCGGATTGTGCCCCCCCAGCACAGGAGCGCCCTGTACTAGCAAATGCGTGCAGTAGAAGGCCCAGGGCTGACGGGCAGCGGGAGGGACACGCCAGGCCACAAGCTGCGGCATCTCCCGGAGCCCCTCCCAGTAGCACCGCTACCCTCGGGCGAGGGGAAGCTTATGAGCCCGGCACGAGGGAGACGCCAGGGCCGAGGAACCGCAGCAGGGGGAGGCCCAGCGTCGTGCGGGGAAAGGGGGTCTCTCAGGGGCCCGCGCCGGGCAGCGCAGACTCGTTGGCACCGCACCGAGGCCTCTCCCGCCAACGGCTGAAGGAGCCGCGGGGGAGGGGGCAGGGCAGCCCCGCGCTCCCCGCCCTGGGTCCGGCTAACTGAACGGAGACATGAGCCGAATTGGCCCGCGCGCGGCCGCAGAGGCCCGAGGGCGAGCCGTTGGGACCCGCCTCTCAGGGTGCAGGGGAAAGGCCCAGGCCCGCAGCGTTCGGACCCCTCTCACCATGGGAGACAATTGTTCCGCGTCGCGAACACCCGACGCACAGCAGCGCCCGGGGCCGCTGCCCTTGGAGCTCCTCCTGCGCCGCAGCCATCTCGCGCCTTCCCACCGGCAGCACGCGGACCCGGGCAACTGCCAGCACGGCACGTGCCCTCAGCCACCAGCCAATAGCAGCCGCCCTCCCTTCGCTCAGCAGCCAATCATCGCGTGGTGGACGGGGCGCGGAGCGAGGCCTCCCTGTTACTAGGTAGGGAAACCACCAAGTGGGCTCTGGGGAAGTACTGGGGTCAGGTTATTCAGCAGGCCCAGGGGGGTGGTCAGCAATAGAACCTGGACTTCTGAGTCAGTTGAAGGGACTGGCACCAATGTTATAAAGTCTATTTTTTAAGATACAAGTGTTTTCTTTGGTTAGAACAGATCAAGTAATATTTATGGGTTGAATAAATTATTCAATGTCGTTTCTGTAGTGTTCCCCCTGCTCTTATTTTGTTTTTGATTAGCATGGACTTGAATCCCTTAGGTTTCTGTTTCAAGTCAACTAAAACAAAACAGTCAAACCCATCAAATGTCTCCTGGCTTCCATGACAAAGCCAGCAAAAGTGGCAAGTTTACATGTGGTTTTTATGCAAATCCATAAGCCAGCCCAGGTTTACTGGAAACTGAGGACAGGTCTACACTTAAAACACTGCTGTGCGCCACTGTAGCACATCAGTGAAGATGCTACTATGCCAGCGGGAGAGCTTCTCCCATCAGCATAATCAATCCACCTCCATGAGAGGCAATAGCTAGGTTGACAGGAGAAGCATTCCTGTCCACATAGTGCTGTCTAGACTGGGGGTTAGGTCAGTATAACTGCATCACTCAGGGGTCAGGATTTTTCACACCCCGTAGCGACATAATTATACCAATATACGTTTATAGTGTAGACCTGGCCTGAGTTAAGGTTGTTTATTATTACTGATGAGTTTGCCTTGATGGCCTGTTCTGCTTAGCAACCAGCGAGGCCTACTGAAAAATATACTAGCTGAAACAGTCAGGCGCTTGGTTGCTTGACCTTGCTAGATAAGAAAATGCTTGCAGAGGCTGGGAGAAATGCTTGCAGACACTTTTTGAAGTAACTTGTATTTCTTTGTCTAACCATGAAGCTTATCAAAACATAACAGTTGTTCTTTGTTCCTCTCTTGTATGCTGGGAAAATACAGCTGGGAAAATATAGTGATGATGTGACGTAAGTGATGACGCGGCGAAGTGGCTAATAAAGATAGTTTGCATCTGCAGAGGGGAGGGGGCTGGTTCTATGGAGACGGATAGTAGTTCTCTATTGTATTGCATGCCTACAATAAAGAGCTTGATAGTTGGATCTTTGCTGGTCGTTGCCTGTCTCTTTGCGGTCGGACAACGAAACCTGAGCCGTCCGGGATAAAAGAAATCCCCGACATTACTAAATTTACATAGCCCAGAATAAGACTATCTTCCTACCCCAAATTCATAATTGGAGAATATAAATATATGGCTTGAGCCTGCTATTTGAGTAGGGCTGTAGGATGTGGCACGGACAAAGTTCAGTCCATGAGGTGGGTCTGCAAACTTTGCATAGCTATATATTAGGTTTTTGTAACTGGAATATTAATATTTCAGTGAGTGGGGCAAATACCAAAACTGTATTTTGAGGGGGGAGCTGAAGGAGTCGATGGCAGTCCTTACTGCACAAGCACAGGGAGAGTATTCCAGGCACAGGGGTAGTGTGGAAGGAAGCATACAGATAGGAGTGAGAGGATACGAAGACCAAACCCATGATTAACCTGATCTGAGTTTAATGGAGTGAAATACTTACTCCATTGAAGTCATTTGTAAAACTCTCATTGGAGCTAGGATTTCACCCAGGGTATGTAACAAAATCCCAAACTAGGCAAATTTCAGTTGGTTTTGGTTATATTTTACAGTAATGCCTATAGGCCTCAATTGGGATTAGGGTCCCATTGTTGTGCTGTATATACAAAGACATGATCCCCACCAAAAAAATAATTACAGTACAATAACAGTTTTGCACAAGTCTAAGCATGTAACAGTCATTGTTTAAGTGGTAGTTGCATGACTGTGCTGTGAAGGGCACACATTTTCCAATGTCCCTAGGATAGCAACAACCCTAAAGCTGTTTCTGCTTGTAGAAGTAGATGCTAGGTTGTATTGCTTCTGTGACAATCAACTCTTTGGTGAGGGGTGTGCCTATATTTGCTTATTGTCTGGGCTTCAGATATATTCTATAGATGAACAAGTTTAAATATAAACAACTTCATATATTAGATTCCATTTTACTGCCTATTAATTTATTCAAATGTATGAAAGTATCTATAGGTGCATATCCTATGCCTATTCCACAAATTAAGATGAAAAATATGATAAAGGACTTGTAACAGCATGAGCTGCCACTTTAATAGTCTGGTAGGGGGACAGGGAGCAGCTGACCCTACCCCAGAAAGAAGCCCAGCAGACAGGTGCTGGGAATCAGCTGACACAGTTGATTAGCACCTCCTGAGTGGCACACACTCTCAGTTAGAATATAAAGAAGAGCTCAGGCATTGGGGGGTGGGGAGTGAGTGAAAAGAGGGTATTTTCTGGTAAATAGAACAGATGGCAGATCCTGTGAGGCCCCTATCAGGTTGGAAAGTGCTATACCTGGTAGCTACTGGAGACTAGAGAACCTGAGTCTGAACCTGTAACCAGACAGTTGTTAGTGTTGCTTTTTGTATGCTTTCTTTGCTTTGTTTGGGAAGATGGCAAACAGAGCAATGAAAGGGACAGAAACCTAACTTTGGTGTAGCTAGTTGTCTGTCCATCCCTGGCTACAGGACTATATATAAATATGCACCAACACTTCATCCATTAGTACATTCCCTCCCCAAAAGCCTGAGGGGGGAAAATGGTAACATATTTTATAATTTCAACAAAAACTAATAGTATTCTCCTACAGATTTATCTAGAACCATTTTATACATGTAATTTGCTATTTAAAGAGCATGTAAGCTGTGCATTGCTAAGTGTTTTTTTTTTGTAAAATATAGATAAATGCTTAAAAAAAAAGCCTTCTAAACTATAGCCACAAGATGGTAGCATGGATTAACTGTAGTTAGGTTCACTCTCAGTATCTTCACTGCAAAGAGAAGGTGTAATTATAGCACTGTGAGTAACCATACCAATGCTAATTTTAGCCAGACCAGGTAACCCTAGCAGTGAAGAAGGGGCAGCATAGTAGTAGCCAGAGTCCCTGTCATGCTTGTTTTCGGGCAGCTACCCAGAGTACAAGCCTGTGCCACTGCATCTTCACTACTATTGTTACCTGTGCTAGCTAGATACATTCACTTTTGCACTGAAGACATACCCCCTGACTAATACAGGTCCTACTTGCTTTTATTCACGTGAGCTTCATCGGCCTTTTCTGTACTGGAAAATGTGCTGTGTTACAAACACGAAGTTAAATACAATTTTGTCCTTAGTAGGGACAAGATACTCTCTATTTCAAATTGACCCCATGGATGAGAGTGCATGTTATGGGGTAGTATGCCCCTTAAGGGTAGTGGGGTCTAGTGGTCAGCTCACCCTGTCACATGGCATGGCCATTTAAGAGTCTGAAAGGGCCAATTATATGTACAAGGACCTGGGAGATATTCAGAGTGAGGAAGTGGTTCCAAGGGTGAGAAGTGTTTGGAAGGAAATCCCATTACTGTTTCTTTAAGAGCCAGGGGCCAGGAGTCCAATAGTGGCTCCCCTCTCCCCACAGCCAACTGGGAATGAGCTGGGAGAAGGGGACCAGCACAAAGGTTGCATGCTCTCTCAGCCACCAGGAGATATCAGCAGGGAAAGGCTAGCCTGTTGAGGACCCTGAAGTCTGATGGCTAATTAGGGAGAAGCTGGCAAAGGCCCTACAGCTGGCTAATCCTGAATTCAGCTCCAGGGAAGAGAGCTGGGGAGACTCCTGCTTAAGGAGAAAGTGAGGGACTAATTAATATAATCCAGTTCCAAGAGAAGAACTGGAAATTCTTGCTTAAGTAAGCACTGAAAGGAGTAACCCAAAGAAGGAAGCAGGAAGGGTTCCAGCATGGGCAGTGGGTATAATAGGCCAGAGAAAGTTCTGCCTCCCCCGGCACTGCCACAGCCGCCGGACCCCCAGTTGCGGGGTTTG